GGTGTGGGTGCGGTGACACGTGCTGGCGCCGCTGAGCCCCATACCCCCGCCGGGGTGGCGCTGGGGGCTGCTCCCAGCCAGCGTGGGGTGCCGTGGGGGTGCTGTGGCTGAGTGGTTGTTTTCTTGTCTCTCCACAGGCAGAAGTGAAGGTGCTGAAGGACCAGCTGGAGATCGAGAAGCAGGCCTGGGAGGCGAACTACGTGAAGAAGGAGGTAACAGCGAGGGCTGCTCTTCTCCAAAGGTGCCACCCTCGGGCTCTGAGAGGGATCGAGGCAAGCCAGCGTGGGGTGCCGTGGGGGTGCTGTGGCTGAGTGGTTGTTTTCTTGTCTCTCCACAGGCAGAAGTGAAGGTGCTGAAGGACCAGCTGGAGATCGAGAAGCAGGCCTGGGAGGCGAACTACGTGAAGAAGGAGGTAACAGCGAGGGCTGCTCTTCTCCAAAGGTGCCACCCTCGGGCTCTGAGAGGGATCGAGGCAACGTTTGCCATCTCTGTCCCCAGGAAGCCTGGCTGCTCTCCCGGGAGCGGGAGCTGCGGGAGGAGGTGAGGAAGGAGAGGGACAAAGAGATCGAGCTGGTGATCCAGCGCCTGGAGGCTGACATGTCCTCGGCCAAGGAGGAGTGCGAGAGGGCGGCAGAGAACAGGTACAGGGGGAGAGGGAGGAATCCCCTCTCCTCATGGGCTGGTCCCCTTCACCTGCGAGCTCCGGACGCTGCAGCTTGCGGGTGTGAGCAGCGTTAGTGCAGGAAGGAGCGGCTCGCAGGAGAGAAGTTCACCTCTCACTTGAGGGAACGGCCCTGCATCTCCCCTGGGGCTGATCCTTCCGCTCCTTGCTGCTGTGGCGAGGTCCCTCCTGCAGGAAGAAGGTGGCCGGGGGTGGCCCCTGCAGTGCTGGGCTGAGCCTGGCTGCCCATCCTTTCCCCCTGTTAGGATTAAGAGGATCCGAGACAAGTACGAGGTGGAGCTCCAGGAGCTGGAGAGGTCCGAGCGGAAGCTGCAGGAGCGCTGCAACGAGCTGAAGGGGCGGCTGGCAGAGCTGGAAGGGGAGAGCCTCCGTCTGCAGGGCCTGCTGAAGCACAAGGAGCAGGAGGTGGAGGAGATCTGGAAGGTGGGTGAGGAGCAGAGCCCGGGGCTCCGTCTCCTCTCCGTGCCCTGCCTGGCTCTGCCCCCCAGCATCACCCTGTGCCCATCAGCGCCTCGATGTCACCTCTCTGCCCTGCTGCAGGTGAGGGACCAGCTGGACCAGGAGTGGAGCGGCCTGGCAGAAGTGATCCGGCAGGAGTTTGCTGACAGGCTGGTGGGAACAGAGGAGGAGAACAAGCGGCTGAAGGCGGAGATGGCAGAGATGCGAGCCCGGCAGCGCCTGGAGCTGGACAGGGTGGTGCGGGAGAAGGACCAAGAACTGGAGGAGGTTCACAGGAGGTGAGCCTGCCTGGGCTTTGCTGCCCCGGGCTGGCTGGTAGCTGGGGCTGGGGGCGCAG